GGGGGGGGGGAGGAAGGGTGCGCGAGCGGATCCGTCCAACCCCGTGGATATTCTAGCGATATCAAGCCCGCATCCTTCTCAGGACCGCCCACTCTTAAGCGAGATGGACCCAAACAAACTCGTTCAGGAACAGCCGAAACTGTGTTACTAGAATAAACTCTCCGTCCAACGCAGAAGCAATTTACCGGCATACGCGAGCTGGAGGAGCGCGCGCGTGCACTAGCGTGTTCACCAACTTCTATTTGTAAAGAGCATTTACGTGTAAATGTATGTACAAGTTGGGCGGCCCCGCCGCCACACTGAGGCGGAATTCCCTTTCGGTTGGCATCAGAAGTGGAAGAAAGTGCAATAAATTCGGCGTATAATACGGCTAAGGAAAACTTCCTTACACGCGCGACCTGGTGAACACCGGCAGCCAAAGTCGAGGAGGTAAGAAGGGAGCAACAAGCGTCTGTTATATTGTTCCTGAAAGATTTGCTCTTGGTTGCAACGAAGAGTGCGCTTCGGATCGAGAAGGAGGAGATCCACGTTCGATCGTTCGAGCGAAATTAAAGTTTTCCCCGATTAATTTTTTGTCAAAGAACGACAGAGATAATCGTTTGAACGATAAAAATAATCGTAAAGTTAGTTAGTTCTATCAATTTTTCCGACAAGCGTTATGATATATATATATATATATATCGTGTAAATTAATAATAATAAACGATCGTATACAGATCAACTCCATATTTTTTCTTCTATCGCAATTTTCATTTTATCGTACGAATTTTATCATACGCGTGTTCATAGGTGATAAAGATCAACGTCGCGAACAATTTACGAACGCAGGTGACTAAGTGACTATTAAACGATACACACAAGTGTTTCAAACCCCCTGAATTTCCATTTTGCAGGGGCGGCGATAAAAATGAATGAAACGGAAATAACAAGATGTTCGGAGACCGAGTAATTTTCATCCTTCAAATCGAATGGCCGTCTGAGGACATGCGCGCAGACAGGAAGGCATACGTACGTGTAGTGGTACCAGCCAATTATCAAGTGATTGCTCGCAGATTATAGGAAATGCAGTTCCACAAATGGGAGGTGTGCTGTGCATCGGCACGTATGTATGCGCGACTACCTATCTCCCGCGATTCTCTACTTCCTCTACCGTGTCCTTCGCGAATTGCCTATCGGTGTTTGCCCGATCCGTCAAGCAACCATCCGAATTCGTGTTCCCTCAAACAGATTTTTCGATCATCCATCCGCTATTTAATTATACCCTTTCCTCTATTTAATAAAAATCGAGACGAGAACGAAAAAAAATTTACTTTATCAATAAAATATATTCGATCTACTTTCATCTCACGCCAATGATTTTCCAAAAATCATCTTTCTTCACGAACAATCGACGAGAACCAATCATCCAGAAAAAAGAATCGAACTTGAGATTAGAGTTCAGTGGAGAAAAAAAAAAAAAGAATTTAGATTTCCCCTCCCAATAAACCGGGACCCAGCTGTTTTCGGCATAAGGCTGAGGTCCACTCAGAAGGAGAGTATCGGTTATTAGACGACCCGGTTACACGAACGGCCACCATGTCCAGCCTGTCTGCGCCAAGTCCTGCAATCGGTCCTCTCTTTCCTCGTCTCTCCCTCTCTCTCTCTCTCTCCCTCTCGCGACACGGATGTTCCGTTCCTCGCTCGAGAGTGCTCTTTCCCCCTCCCTCCCCCTTGGCCCACCCCCTCGCCGTGGTAGCTCGCTCTGTTTCTACCCTGCTTCCGGGTTTACCTCTTTCCTAACGGCCTGCCTCAGCCCCTTCATCGCCCGCCACTCAGACTTCAATTAATTTCGCTAGTTCTGGACCGGCCGTTTTCCAATTTCGAGTTTCTCCGGTGAACGGCGAAACACGGCCCTCGATACGATGAAATGGTCGCCGTCCAGGATACCGCGCATCGATGTTTGTACAAGCACCAAGAAGGGTACCTTCCGATCGCGAGCCGCTTAACGCGAAAAATTAATTACGTATGCACCCTGCCTGTACGCGTCTAGACGATGACTAAGAGCCACGTGTCGATAGTGAATCCCCGTAATCATAAATCAACCAAGGAAAAAGGTTATCTTCTAGTATTGACAAGGAGTGAAAAAAAAAATATATGGAGATATCAATCTCAATCCATTTGGGATATTTAGAATCTGTTTTAATGATTAATAAGTTAGATTCGCGAGAAGGGATATAAGATTTATATTTTTTTTTCTTATCAAGAATTTCTTTTCTTTTTAAATCATATATCCACAATTCGAGAGCTAAAATATATCAAATTTAGATTCTATTCGCAAGATGTATTTTCAAATCATCCGTTCCATACGAAAGAAAGAGGGAGAAATGTTGGTGGATGGATTAACATTCGGATGGATTAACACGGAGGATGGAGAAAAAGTTGCATTACACGCGCATGACGTGTGGAAAATTCTCTGATAAAAATCTAACAGGGACTTTTCCAACCACGCGGCACGCCGCGGCGCTCGTAAATCGGTGGCTTCCGATGCCACCCGTTGACGGAGTTTTATGGGCTTTCTAGAGCTGAAATTCTCTCTCTCTCTCTCTCTCTCTCTCTCTTTTGCCGCCCTACTATTTACTGGCGCTCTTCGGCGTAATTCGATGGGATACAGTGACGAACTGTCGTAACAAGCGAAACGCGCTGATGGATGCGTGAAAACGAGGCTGAAAGACGTCAAGACGATCGAGCGGGAGAATTTATTGCGGGGGTAGGATATGACTTCGCGCCGGCACGGTGTTAATTGGGTGTCTGTTGGCGGATAAATGTGGAGGATGGGATGAGAGTACGGTGTCGGCGGATAAAATGGGTTTGGGAAGGTTTGGAGATATATGCGATTTTCCCTTTTTCTTTTTTTTTTGTAAGAATACGCGATGTATTCTTAATCTCTTGCATTACGATCTCTTTTTTTTTAAGGGTAAAATTCTCAACATTGACTTTTATTGGTGGAGAAAAGGAGTGGTTTCAAAGTATAGTTAAAAAATATTAACGAATGATTATTAATTCGATTAATTTGTACGTTAAAGAATGAAGGAAAATATTTCTTATTTTATCATTGTCGAGACTGATGTAGAAAATAAGTTAAGAAATGAAACGGCACGCTATAAAAATTAAATAAAATTTTTTGTTTGTGGTTTACATGCTAACTACAATTTGCGCCGTATTAAAAAATATATCTGGAAATATATCTAAGTAAATGTAACTCTAAATTACGTAAAAGTATATATTTCCAAACTCTAAATATCGAATTTAATTTATACCTGAAGATAGGGCTTCCCATAATATTTAACGAGCTTAATTGTTGTCATTACCGAAGCAAATAAGCTCTATAAAAATTCCACGAACGAAAGGTGCCAGGTCTCTCTTTTCACGCGAAACCGCAGACTTACTTATTCAACGATCCCTTCGCTTGACCCAGCGAGATAACAGCCATGAAACACGAAAGACACCTACATCGAGAACCAACATCGTTGCAATGTTAACCTTTATTTGCCCGAAACTTCCAAAGTTTATCGTTCCGTGAAATGTTCGACGGTAACTCTTCGAGTTTAATAAAATCCCCCGAGAAACCTCCAATCGTTCAACATTTATACGAGATATATCCATCCCACAATTCCCTTACACCGGTCAAAGATCACCGCGCCTAAGGTTGGGTAAACATTTCATTCGGACAGGCCCAGAGTGGAAAGAAATGAAATGATCGATTGTGGCTCGATAGTGATCTGTGCTGGACGTTGACGCGCAGAGACACACGATTATCTTATGGAAGAAAGGCGCACGAAGGGACGAAAAGGTGCCATGAAAGCAAAAGAGAAGAGAAATACGAGAACGTAAATGTAAAGAAGTCGAAAGAGGTGTGGAAAATGCTCAAATAAGAATACGCAAAAAGTAAAAAAAAAAAAAAAATACAAAAAAAGCGTATAGAAAAGAATCAAATAAGCATAAAATAGCATACGAAGAAATACACAAAATATATAGA